GAAATAAATAATTCCAATAACTATTATTATTATTTCGATGATGGATGATTCTGTCCCATCTCGTACTTCCGATAATGATATAAATATATAAATATCAGTCAAGAGTAATTTTCTTCAAATCTGTTTGTAATATAGATGGTTGGTCGATATTGTAATATAGATATTTTTCTTAATACTGGTAGAGGTGCAAAATTACACACAAATTAAGAAAATTAGTCTCTAGTTTATAAAATTGACGATAGTTATTACGAATTGAAAATGTAAGTGTTTCCAATTAGATGGTCGGCATTATTCTCTTTTATTACGATTTATTATTTGAAACGTGTAATTGAAAACAATATAGAGTGCTAAATTATTGGTATTACTTTAATAAGTTTTATACCCCATAGTAATATAAGATTTTACGCATTTCATTCGCTTATAATTGTAAGATATTGATTTTTTAACTAAGATTTATTTATAATAAATGGGAAAATTTAATGAAATGCTCGTTATAATTGGCATTTGTCCTACGATTAACGTTCCTTATACCAATAGATGCTTATATCTTGTATTGGCTTACAATGTTCTTTAATTCTTAATGTAATTAAAAATTCGAATACTTTATAATACTGAAAATTACAAGACATTTCATTACTCGTATTTGCTACATAATATTTATCATGAGGATGTTAGATTGCATCGGCAAATAAAGTGTATAAAAAACAATGTACACGAGCTCGCTTAAAATTCATTTTAGTTGGGCATTAATTAATTTGGTTATCCTTTTTTTTTTATCTGTTGCAACTAATTATACCAAGATATGCTTGAAGAAGATACTTCTTCCTTCCTTGTTTGAGAATTCAAGGATAAAACCGGTTTCAACATGTCGTAACACCTGTAAATTTCTTCCCATGATTTTTCTAAATTTATCGGAAAATTTGTATCGACTTTAGAGAATTATACGGACAGGCTTGTTTAATCGAGAAAATAATTTAATTCGTTCGCGTTCCCCGACAAATTTTTACCACTAATGCAGTAAGGATGATTCTCTTGAATTGTTTATTTCTCGAACCCTTCTCTCCCTATCCATAAATTCGTCAATAATGTTTTACAACAAATTTTTCCCAGATATATTATATCAACATGTCCGGGAGTTTCGCGTGAAATATGCAATAACGATAAATATCGATCGCAATACCCTGAAGAAATATTGGAAATCAGTTATGAGAACTTTAAGGCGCAATTTATTTAACGGCACGCTGAATTCGAAGTGATTGATGCCCGGGCGCTCGATTTGTTGTTGTTGTTGTTGTTGTTGTTGTTGTTGTTGTTGTTGTTGTTGTTGAAACATGCATTATGAAGCGAGTTCGAGGCGAGTTCGAGGCGAGTTCGAGACGAGTTCGAGGCGAGTTCGAGGCGAGTTCGAAGCGAGTTCTTACTTTATACTGACACATGAAGGAAAGGTATTTTTAAAGGCGACTCGTCCGGTTTCCCCGAGCAATCACACGCTCGGGGCCGCATGAAAATGCAACAAGAGCTCTTTCCAATCCCGCCAGCTTGACTTTCGAAAGTACCCAATATTTAATCGATGGATCGACTTAATTGACGGGCCCGATACACATCGCGTATGGCATCGCTGGTTCAGCTTAGCTCGTCGGCTTCTCGATCTCCTTTTTCATCGGCCGGCGATGCAGCAACGACCTCGTCCGTACCTACACTAAGAAGGTCAGGAGGGCCGTTGAGCGGCAGATCTACGCGCAGGAGTCACGCAGGGTATAACAGAGATCGAGCGTATTCACTTTCGTGGGCTCTACGGGCCGGCGTTTCGATTAAGGCCCACGGACGAGGGATGCTACGAGCGTTCGATGCTTCGTACCTCAGCACCACTGTCTTGGCGAATTAATACTGCCCCGCAGGACGTTTACTTTGCGCACTTAATATATCATTTGGTCTCTATTTCAAGACCGCCTGCAAGACAACCCGAGCGACCCACGGTAAATTGAGCTCTCATTAAAGCGCTCGATTCTTCATTATGAATTAATCGCGTTTACCGCTCGATAAAAATGCCCCTCGTCGTCTTTATTTAGCAGATCGAGCACACTATTATCTACTCAATAATTCGCATGCCGATTAATAATATCCTTCCCAAATGAAATTCCACGCTAGATCGTTCGGCTCTCGTATACCGAGGGCAAGTAACTAGAAATAAATCATCGATCGGGCTCTGTTGAAATATCATCTGGATCAAAGAGTTGCCATAAATTGTGGATGCCGCACAAAATTACATGCGTATACATAAAATTCATGGACGTACGTGCGCGCGCGTATATAATGGCAGGTAATTGCAGAGAAGCTGTCGGTGAGGTGACTCCTCTCTCTCTCTCTCTCTCTCTCTCTCTCTCTCTCTCTCTCTCTCTCTCCGTCTTTTTCTGAATAATAATATCGGCGGAGAGGTATTAACACGCGTACGAGCGGCAATCATAGTCCCATTGCCGGCACGCGTGTAATCGCGCCCGCACACTTACATCCACGTAATACGAATGCTTCCGGGTTAACGTGGACTCCATCCGCGGGAGATCCACTTTGTCGGCCGAGTTCAGTAGCAATGTATTGGGCGTCCCTGTGCACTCGAGCGTGAAATTTCGGGCCAATTTTCAGCGCCGAGGCGCAAAGCCACGCGTTACTATTGACAGGTACACCCGGACACTTTTCCCGGCACCTAAGCACAAGCATTTAGCGCGTTCCGGCCGAGTCGCCGGCATAATGATTAGCGAGGCCAGCGAGTTACACGCATCCGTTGCCACGCGAGCTTTATACAACGGCACGCGTATGCATAAAGTTTATTTTCCCTTAATTTACCCTCTTCTCGACGCTTTCCTTTTTATTTTCCATCCTCTGCCTTCCCCCCCCCCCATCGACTATTACCACGACTCGTTTTCTAACTGCGGCGGACTCTTCCTTTTTTTTTTCGCTCACGAGAGCTGCCCGAGCACTTTGGCGTGGTTCGCTAAGCAATCGACAGTCTTCTCTCTTCTTTTTTTTTTTTTTTTTTTTTTTTTTTTTGTTTTTGGCGGGAAATCTCGCGGCAAAGATTCAATATATCTTGCAGCGTCACGAAAGAAATTCTATTTCGTTTTCTCGTTTTATTGCCCGTGCCGCTGGCTGGGTAAATAAAACGGGTGGCTCGATAAAAGACTCGGTTAGAGTATTTTTTCAGCTCTACGATTTTGGTATTCGATTCTATTTTGCACATATGGTAGTGCCACCAACCCCCCTCTACCAGCTCAAAAAACAAAAAAACAAAAAAGAAAAAAGAAAAAAGAAAAAGAAATGATACAAGCTCGGTTACGATTTCAACTGCGCTAGCGCGTTGAATGCACGTTTTATTAGATACGAGAATAAATCATTACGAGGAATATAAAGGTA